CCCCAAAACCCCAAAACCCCAAAACCCCAAAACCCCAAAACCCCTCATTCAGAATCTCCTATTTAATATCTGGAAGTAATTTATATCAAAAATGAATACAGGGGAGTCTAGGAATTTAAGAAGATCTAATATCAGAAAGATCAAAGATCTTCAAAAAAGTAACCTCACATCCATCAAGAAGAACTTCTGAGCCCATACCTTCGAAAGAGATCATAAAGTAAGCAAAATAAACAGAATGCTCCACTGTTTATGAGATTTCTCGATTAGGTTATCAAAGGTTTATAGAGTTTGGGAATATAACTTACCAACAAATTTAACGCTTTATGTTGTGAGATATTTGCCAGAAGTGAAGTGAGCGAGGAGTATAGCTTAGAAATTTTTGGTATTGATGACTAGTCATCATCTTTAGAGCCAGAGGAGTTCAAAGAAGGATCTGTAGTATTGATAATTAGTTAGCATAAGGAAATACACCAAAGCTTTTGACTATTTATCAGCTGTAAAAATCTTTCTTAATCCAAAGCATCCAAATGGTTCACTTGGATAAAGAATCGTCCTTAAAATCTTTGATGATGTCCTTTGTTGCTCTGATTTATCATCTATAAATTATAGTACTCCAAATCATTATCATATCAATAAGCGATCATCTGAAGCATAGTATTCAAAAGACTTCTAAATTCTTAAGTAGGGCCATTAGCCTAGTTTAGCACGCAATTTTTGTATTAATAATAAGTCTTCCTTAGTCTCATCGATAATTCCAGAGTTAACCAGCCATTATATAAAATTACGACTTTAAAAGCTAGTCCTTGGCTCTGACCATAAAACTTTAAGAGCCCTGAGGTATAGTTCGAGATAAAATTTTGTCGTGAATAGGATTATTTTATATCAGGTTTACCTAGACTCTTACCTAGCTTTCTTCATAGTTGAAAATTGAAACGAAGGGCTAACCTACTTTTCGGTCTACTTTTAAATAAACTGCACCATTATTACAAAAAACCCTTCATGGATTCATCTAATTTGGATGACATCGCCACTATATCCATGCTTAGCATCCTTTATACATTATTTATTCTGACTGGATTCTATCATAAGATTACACTCCTTGCTAGCATTGGTTGCTGTACATTTAAACATATTGATTCAATCATGCAAATATTACAGTTCAATTAGTCTATTTCATTGATTATAACTTCATTGTTTCGTGAATACATTGATACTTTCTGCTTCAAAACAGATTAGGAGATTTTTCTTTGGTCACCACAAATTTACTGTATAATAAAGACTCAGGTAACTTTCTTCCCAACTTATTTATAATTATTAAGAAGGGTCAGAGAGCTTAAACAAGACTCCTATTCTGTTGTATAGCCGAAAACCATAATTTTAAATCAGATTCGCCTCTCTAATTTGTTCTTTAAGAGCTTTAAGGAGGCATAACTTTTCACCTAAAAATGAGGTTTACTGGTCTAAAAATCACTAAGTTTGATATATCATTATTATTAAATATAGTGCTCTTTCTTTTGAGAACTTGCACTCTCAGCATGAAGATGAGATGCCCAAAATTCGGTTAAAGTTTTATTCCCCTCTTGTTGATTTTTTATGTAATAATCCTTCTTTTTTAACTCAGAAGAAGAAATCTAATTATTTTGGGCTAAGAGTTCGCCCATTTCAATAAATTTTGCTGAGAGATTTGTTAGAAGAACTTGGGTAAAATTTTGGTATTAGCTGCTTATGATCATGATTAAAGCTCTTTAGAATCAAGACTTAATATCATAACTGAATTAATTACTATTATATGAAGATTTCTATTTCTTGCTTTAGGATAATACGGAGAGCATAAGGATGACTGTTGACAACATCATGAAGCCTCCAATTGGCATCAAATCTCTCCAAAAGATCCAAAAATATGACCTAAAATCTGGAGAAAACCAAAGGAGAAGAGATATCTATTCTTTGCTAAATGTATGAAATTATCTATGTCTTCTAAAATTCCAATTTGCACCAATTCTATATCTACATTAGATAGAGCTATTCTTATAAATTTCATAACTAAAATGAGTTCTTTTAGCTATAAAATTCTTATCATAATTCTTAAATAGGGCAGGAAAAGGACTCCTCAGAATCGTATACATCAGATGTCAGTTTCAAAGGTAGGGTTATATAAAATAACTAAATTTTGATTCTTATTAGTTTAAATTTCGACTAAAAACAACACATGATGGTTAAAAAAATCTTACATATAGAACTTTAGCAAGATGCCTCATATTAGAGATGCTTTAAGAAACATGATTAAAGAGTCAAATAGCGATTCTATTTTTACTAAGTCAAGACAAAGACCAAGTGAGTTTTATGGTTGTTATATATCAACTTTTTGAATTATCTAATTTGATTATTTCTCCTACATTCTGAATTTGGAATGGAAAAAGACTTACTTCTCATAGATAAAATTATGGCATCCTCTTTAGAAGGCCCAATTAATGCAAGTAAGTACTCATCTTGGTTTGTTCTCTAAAATCATATAGGAACTGTTATGAAAGGAAATGGGCCAAAAGAAGAGTAAGTTAGATGAATAATTAGGTTTATTTTCAGTAAATCCAATATCTCTTCAGATATTTTCTGACTCATTTCTCTAGATAAAGTTCGAGAGAAGTCATCGAATCAATTGTAGCCTTCAAGATTGCAATAATTAGGAAGACATACAGAGTGTTCAAGTAAATTTTGAGGCTCTTTATTTTTGTATCGACTAACGGAAAGAACTTCTACATATTTAAACCAATTACTCCTTTAAAAATTTTGAAGGGAAAGTTTCATCTTTATATAGACAGTATGCGAGAGACTATAGTATAAAGAAGTTTTGAAGGTATGCTCTTCCTTCTTGACACTTTAGAATAAAGGACTGTGAGTTTTAAAAAATCTACAATATTCTGAAAAAAGGGAAATTAAGGATATATGCTAAGCCATTCCGCAAAAGAGTCAAAGTCAATAGGTTCTCAAAGTAAGCCAAAGAGGTCTGACCACCACCTATGGACTTTTAGAACTTTCTTTAGAAGTCTCAAAATTTACTTAATAATCTATCTCATACTGAATCCCCCTTGCCTAAAAAGTCATTCGAAAATGCTCAGGATACATTTTTAGCCTGAGGAGAGCTGAAATCTTGACATAAAAAAGCCTAGGCTGCTCTTATGTATCATTCTCATTCCTCTAAAGATTCTGAAATATTTTCAAAGTGTTTTAATATGAAAAATTCTTCATAAAATTTAAGTTTGAATTATAAGTAATAATTTACGCATATTGGTGATTTCAGATACGAATCACTCATTTTGGTCAACTTCTCCTTTTAGAAGAGAGCTAACTTTCACGAAGGATAATGTTAGTCTCGAGGCTTAAGATTAATATGGGCGATAAGAAATAATATGGCCTCTAATCTTGATTTTAGACACAGAATGGTTAGGCTGAATGATAAGTTAGCTAGAAGTCTTGAAGAGCATCCAAGGGAAAGCTGGAAGAACAGAGAGACATATTTTGGACTTGAGGCTCCTTCAAAAGCAAAACTCTCTCCACAAATAATGAAAGGGATAAATTCACAAGTAAGTCTTTTGGAACTATTTAAACCACTTTATTAAAATCTTTTGTACAATAGAGCTTAAATAAGAATTTAAGTCTGAAATCATTAGATGAATTTTGCTAAAATTGCATCATTAACTGAGTCTCTTTGCTTTCGATAGAATGCTTTTCATAAATTATCACAAAATAGTGATTCATAGTTTATTTATAATTAGGAAGTAAAGATTAGTGTTTATTTAGCACTCTCTAATTCAAAAACTGTATAAATATCATTCTAAATAGACCCTCTGTGAGAAAAGGCAAATTTTACCACAATCCCACTTCAAAGTTTCAGCATCCCTAAGTCAGGCCAAGATGTAAAGACTTTATACTAATCTATAGGAAAGAAGATATGCTAAAAAGAAGGTGATTAAGCTAAAGAAGATCATTAAAAAGGTACTATCTCCTTTTAACTTCCTCTAATCCCTCTTTCTCCCTTCTGTGCCTCCCAGTGTCCTCTTGACCCCTCATAACGCCTAAATTCTTAACTTCTTAACCCTATTTCCCACTCAAAATCCCACAAACGATGACTGATCGTTCCTCCAAAACTATATGCAGGCTCTAGATTTCTAAAGGAGCTTTCATAGCTGAAGGAAAGAGAGTCTGGGGAGGAAGAACAATAGGGAACTTTTAGAGTGATAAGTGGAGATAAAAGGAGAAACAGGAGGAAGGAGGGATTAAGAGAATAGAGGTGGGAGTGAGTTGGAGGGATTGTAAGGGGGCAGGGATCGTGGTTGATATGTAGTGGGGTGTTTTGGAAGAAAGTGTAGGGGCATTGGGAAGTGTGGATTAGGAGAGGTAGTTTAGGAGAGATGTTAGTAACTCAAAAAATGGGCAAACCTTATAATATAAATCTTTCACTCTCCTATCTACATATTTTCCTACCTTAAGAGCCCCCAAAACTCCAAAATACCCCTAAAAATACTAAAAACAACATCCCCCAAAACCCCCTCATCCCAACCCCCACAATCCCCTTAACCCTACTCTCTAGCCTTCCATTCCAACCCCCATTCACCAATCCTTCACAAAATCCTTCAAGTAACCTCCCAAATCCCTCACCGTACAGAATCTGCATCTTTCCTCCAAAAAATACCTCATAAACTCCAGAACCAAAGTCAAAAATTACAGCTAAACTCTTTCACAGCCCAAGGCTAAACTCTATTTTAATTGAATCTTCAATTTAATCTTTGTAGGCTGGGGTTTTGGGGTTTTGGGGTTTTGGGGTTTTGGGG